GTCGTCATCCGACCCTGGAAACTTTCATGGCTACAGTGACCGAGCACTCAGGACAATCTGAATCAATTTAGGTCTCTGACATTACGACCAAGCTGCGCTGAAGAGCTCAAACCTCCCACATAACTATATGAGGACGCATTCATAGTAGGTCACACCATATTTACCTTCATACCTTCGATCAAAGCGTATAAATAGTTTACTATTCGGGGATATTAATTTCTGGGTCTGAAGTTATTTCAAGTTAACTTGAATATTGCGACGGAGGCTGCTGGCACAATTTTCTTTGCCCCTCGCACATGTGGTAAGTGTGGATTGGTGGTCCATAATATGCCTAAAAGTGGTTTTTAGCTTATCACTTATTAGTTGCTACTCGGTGCTAAGAATGGTGCATTAAACGATGCCCTATATTATTCTGGAGAATATACCAAGACAATAGTGATATTAGAGACTATCATAATTACTCTGATGAAAGACACATGGCGACCTATAAGGCCTCTGTCACTTTAACCAATTAGCAAATACGAGGTTAAACCAACGCTGTGATTCTAAATGTTGACAAGTAATTTTACTTACATTCTTGTCTAGATCACTATTGTGAATACACATTAAGCATTTTTATCTTTCCTATGTTTTTTTTCTTTTTCATTTAGTGGATTATCTTCATTTGCCTTCAATATCGAGTTTATGGGTATCTTGGATAAACTGCGCTCCGCTGCTTCAGAGTTAAAGGAAGCTGCGGCTAGTCTTGATGACATCGATCAAGATCTTTTGAGCATGAAAGTAGGATTTTTTTCTACCTTATTTTACTAAAATTTTTGTCCATTAATTTCCCTAGCAATTAACTAATATTTATGGTTGCTTATCTACTTTACGAATTTCTCAATTTCATTGTATAACTCGCATCTTCATTTCGTTTGGCATAGCGTCAGTTGGCGTCATTCATGCTCTTAAAATGCCTTTCATAGTAATCACTGACAATTATTTCATATTTGAACTCGGCCAGTAACTTTCTTCATCAATTAAAGTCTTAAATAAGATGAGATCGAAACTCATAACTTACTCACAGGGCTGACAAGAGGTGAATGATTTAAGCAACCTATATAGGGCTTTGCGGCGTTGATAGTAGGAACGAACCTATTCACCCATAAACTAGGGCTCATCAATGCAGAATAAATTAGCATACGAGACTGGTGAGGCAGGTATTTAAAGCTGAAGTGGCTGGTTGAAAAGAGAGCAAGGAACAGAAACATGGAATTTCACCTTCATCAAATGAAGGTAATCCATTCTCTGGATCTTATTCAAAACAGGCGGGTCATGTTTCAGTTCTCTTTAAGTTTGTCGCTGATGATGATTTAATACTTCGCCTTAATGTGCTAGAATCTTGATACGAGCGCACGACAACTTACGTGATACTAGATAGGTTCCACAAAGTCTCTCAGGAAAATGATATAACGCCTAAACTTATTCTATCTTGAGGTTCAGAATCTTGAATC